GTGAGACGGAAATGTTACGCCCCTTGCCATATTGTGATGATGCCCTGTCAGGCCGGAGCGATAATTCAAAAACATGAAACCCCATTATAAACGAGGCATTCGTTGCATCCAGTGGGGACATACTTACAGATTATAATGTTATCATTTTAATCCGTAATATAATTATAACCTTATACTGTCTTTTTACGCGTTGCATCGCGCCGCGTAAACATAAAACCATGTCTGCATTTGTGATCGGAGAAATGACAAACAACAAGCACTACTCTACACTGCCCAAAAAACTCGCTTTAAATATATAAAATATAAAAACTCTTTAAATATAAAAGACGTACTTACAGTTTTTGAGTCAGAACAGCCGGCGTTGTAGTCTACTCTTCCAGGAAACAGTCCTCCATAAACTATGCTGCACACATCCGAATATTTGGGTTGAAGTGTTCTGGAAAAGAACACTGATTTCTAGTCGTGTCCATTTTTGAAAGGTCAAACAAAGTAGTTTCACTTTCACAACGAAACAGCGTCACACACCACGGTCTACAGTGAGCAGAGGTCGGATGCTAGCGTGAGGAACTACCGGAGGGTTAGAGTGAGCAGAGGCGGCCTACAGTGAGCAGAGGCCGGGGGATAAAGTGAGGACCTACCGGAGGGTTAGAGTGAGCAGAGGCGGCCTACAGTGAGCAGAGGCCGGGGGATAAAGTGAGGAATGGCGGGAGGGGTAGAGTGAGCAGAGGCGGCGGGCTTGAGAATGTCGAGGCCGGCGATTTCGACGAAGGAGCGTCTGGAAGGACATGTGACAACTCCGTGCTGGACTCCGCTTCGTCCACGGTGAAAGCTGATCCGGCGATCGACAGCGCAAATTTGTAGTATTTCCTCAGCAACCAGCACAGATCAGCTCCAGGCATGACGAAGCAGATATCGTCCTCTTTTGGAAGACCAAACAAAGTAGTTTCGCTTTTACAACGAAGCACACAGCGTCTTTACGACATGGCGGCGGAAGCAACAAAACTACAGCGAGAATAAAAGTTATGCCTTCTTTCTTTGCGTGAACATTTGGGCGGCATTATGCAAATCTTCCCACAGAGCGACGTAGGTATGTGGGGGTGTGTTAGAACGAACCGTTTTAGGTAGGCGTGGCTGACTCTTAACTTTTATAAAGAATATCTCTTTGGATTTGAGACTTTAATCTTTACAGATCTTCTTTATGCACCTAGCGCTTGTAACACTCCAAAGAGAAATTAAAAATTTAAATCGCATCATATGACCCCTTTAAATAAATGTAATTCTAATAAAAATTTTCTTAGGGATAAAAATTCTACCTCGGACTCTGCTCTAAACTATAGGGAACCCTTTTACTATAAGGTTACAATTAACAACAGAGCCCAAAATTATTTTTAAATATAATAATCAACACTCAACTTAAAAATTTTTTTATGGAAACATGTAAATTGCACATAATGCAGTTTTTAAATTAACTTCTAATTTTCTTTATTTTTTGTTGAAGTATATTAATTCACAGTGACTCATAACTTGTTTCATAATAGATTTATTTAAACATGCATTAAATAATTAAGACATCACTAACAGATGCGTAAAATATAATGATTGGAAAGTACATAATGATAATTTTTTGCAAAATGCTCTTCTCTAGACTTAATTTCTGTAGCGAATTAACGAGCTGTGGACACTGATGACTTCCTGAGGTAAATGAAATGCTATGTGACATTTTTGTTTACAATCTGTTTTATTGCCGTCTTTCCGCGGTTGAAACACTGATTGAGTGATTACGTGAGGCATGAGATGTTCATTCATGTTTATTTCATGTTAAAACTAGTAGTAAAGAGGAAGATATGATCGCGCTGCCGTTTGAACCGAGGCGTTTATACAGCGATCTGTCGCACTTCAACAAGAGCGTCAAAACGGCATTTATTGTTTGAATTTCCTGAAGAAAAAACATAATTTGAAAGATAAGACTTTTGTTTCTTACCAAAAGTAACAACTTTGAAGTTTCCAATGAAGTTAGGCTCATGCAGTGGTTAAACCAATGCTGTATTTGTTCAGTACACATGTGTATCGAACCGAAAGACCCATACCGAAAATTTTCAGTACGAATACGTGTGCCGTTAAAATATATATATATATATATATATATACAATCGATTACAAATTAATATGACTCCTGCTACACTGTGCTCTGCAGCCAAGTATAGGTCTCTGCAGGAAAATAATGGGAGTTCTGTTTTTGCTTCAATATTGAAATTATACCTGATTGGCTCATGTCATAGTGACCGTTATGAAACACCCACCAGTTTGCTAACACCCACAAAGTCATAAACGCCCACTTTTGTTTTGCAGAGACCTCATTCTCTCTGCAGCGCACGCTGGATGGAGCAGAGCAGACACTTTCAGTTTACAATTGTAGCATTCCTTGTCCAGCTAAACTAAATGGGTTTTATTTTTAAAAAAAAGCAAAATGACAGTGGGGGTGGTACTGCATTTGGCAAGTAATGAATTCTGTGTATGCCCGTACGCTGGGTAATAACCAATTAACACCGACTACAGAAAGTTAGATAGATCAATAGATAATAATGCCTCTTATTTATAGGTGCCTTTCAAGACACTCAAGAACACCGTACAATAAAAATACAAAACGTGAACATTATAACAACACATTAAACAAGCAGACCATTAAAAGTTATTCTAAACAAATACGTTTTTATCTGAGCTTTTGAAGGTAAATTCATCTATCTGGTGCAGTTTGAGAGTTCAAAATTAAGAGCTCTAACACAGGTTCAGTCAAATTAAAAGACAAAAGCTGGTGAATTTACTTGTTCTTGAAATTTAAAGGGGACTCAACCCTCTTTTTAGTTGTGATATAGTGTCTCAGTCTCACTGGTGAATTTGGAAGCCAAACAAATAATAATAATAATAATTTTATATTATTATTCCTATGATAGTAATGGTCATATTTTGTAAACCAATTGCACTCTGAAATAAATGAATTTTTTTTTT